TTTCTAGAAAATCTGACATTGCTAATGATGGCAAATGGTAATCTTAAAGCTTCAAACAATTTCTAGAAAATCTGACATTGCTAATGATGGCAAATGCAGCAGCAAGTGAATTCTCATCGTTACTAGTAAAGCAAAAGAACACAATTTCAAGCAAAATATTGCTTTCCACTTGGTTCGACATACAATTCACATCAAATTCGAGCAAAAATTATAACAACACTTTGCTGCATGCTTTGCTATAACTACATAAAAATACCAATTCACACCGGCAAGATCATATTACTAAAGCAGCATATTAAATGATCAGACAAGATTTATTGATTAATTTGATCGAAGATTTTTGGAAAGAAAAAAAGAAAAAAAAAAGAGTAAACTCACAGATAAAGACAAAACATTAATTTTGTTTAAAAACTGTGCTACTAAACACACTTTCATTGAGTGCAAAAACAATTTTTTAGCATACTTTCTTGTGTACTTTTATGATAGTTCTGCTTTGTAAAATAAATGTGAATAATTGGTTAAATATTTTGTCACTAGTTTTTATCAACGTGATGTAAAATCCTTCAAATGGCGTGGTAAGTAAAGTTAGAACAATTTCTTATTGTTTACATTCAGAAACTAAAGAAATTAACCTGGAATTTAAAATATTTTCTTGTGTACTTTTATGATAGTTCTGCTTTGTAAAATAAATGAGAAAAATTGGTTAAATATTTTGTCACTAGTTTTTATCAACGTGATGTAAAATCCTTCAAATGGCGTGGTAAGTAAAGTTAGAACAATTTCTTATTGTTTACATTCAGAAACTAAATAAATTAACCTGGAATTTAAAATATTTTCTTGTAAAAAAAAAAATCTCAAGGAAGTTAATAATGACACCAAATAAACCTCTATGACTTTATACTCATTCAATATTAGTCAGTAATATGTAAGATATTACATTACAATTACAGCTGCATCAAGAAGTGTGTACGACAACATTTCAACTGCATTTGATAAGAAAACAATGTATGTATTGAAATAGTGTATAAAATGGGTATAAGATAAAAAATATTATGGTATTTCTACACACTCCTGTATGAAAGTGAACTGAACCATAGCACAGTCTCATGTTGACAGTTTACACCGTGATTGGCTGTCATTCAACAAATCAGACAAACCCAAGCCATCATAAATGCCTATAAAAGTACAGAAAGTTGTACTATATCCAGCATCAGTGCGGTGAATGTGGTTCCCACGACAGAAATGCCACATGACGAACTTCCAACAGACTGAGGCAAAACTTCAAATTTCATGTTTCAAAAGAAGATGTTGTGAAACTGATAAGGGTAGATAAAACTGTTACTGTAGATAATAGAAGTGGTCATGGTAGAAAGCCCAAACTCTTCACAAGTGATGTTAAGTAGCTCAAGTTATGCTCTTTATGTATAAATCTTGCCAATTAGCTAGCTATACAGGTGTGAATGTCACCTACAGTAAGACAAGCATAACATGGTTCTTTGTTCAATTGTTCAGATCAATTTCATGCACTTTTGGGAAGTTAAAATCTACATCAAAATCAATCGGATTCCAATAAAATTTTATAAACTTCCTATTTATTTGTTCAACACCGTAAAATGCATTAAAGTTAGATATATCGATACATTCTGCTATTACAATATTTTCAAGTACTTCTACTAAAAAAGGCCCCCCTTTCAAGGACTTTTAAGGATGCATATGCACCCTGGTGTAAGCACTAAGTGGTCTCAATGGATGTTACTGTTCAAAACTCACTACAAACCAAAATGATGAATGGGTATCAGATTTCAAACAATGGGCTGAGCAAAGCTATATGAGGGTGCAATTTACTCATGTTCAAATTGTTTGGAAAGAATCAGAGCTAGTTTGTTCAATAGTAGAGAAGACAACAATATCTCTTTTTCAACATACAAGATCTACACTGAATCACAGCCAGCAATGTTGGAAATATACACAAAATTGATGGAATCCTGACTGCTGACACATACAAGCATTCTTATACATCATGAAAAATGGAACACTTACAACCATGCACAAAGACCTGGTACATTAGAAGGTCAAACAGTAACCAAACAATTTTCACACTTTGCTAGCTTCATTAGTCTTATCATGATGTAGTACTATCTACTGTAAATCACACTTTGCTAGCTTTGTTAGTCTTATCATGATGTAGTGTTATGTACTATAAATTGCACTTTGCTAGCTTCGTTAGTCTTATCATGATGTAGTACTATCTACTGTAAATCACAGTTTGCTAGCTTAGACATCTTAAACCTTAAGACCTAATGACTAAACAGCTGATATGAACAGCATTTCAACTAACTTTGTATATTGCAACCCAGTTTATTCTTACAAGCTCTGTTATTGATCAAATGACTTGCTAACAGCAATGTTTGGCAAATAGTCCCCAGACCTGAAGATAGGTAATGAATATAGTTAGAAGTGTCCTTTATTTCTTTCCACAATTCAAACGCACTTTGCAAGCTTTGTTAGTCTTATCATGATGTAGTGTTATCTACTAGTAAATTGCACTTTGCTAGCTTCGTTAGTCTTATCATGATGTAGTACTATCTACTGTAAATCACACTTTGCTAGCTTCATTAGTCTTATCATGATGTAGTACTATCTACTGTAAAAATTTACAGTAGATAACACTACATCATGATAAGACTAATGAAGCTAGAAAACTGTGATTTACAGTAGATAGTACTACATCATGATAAGACTAATGAAGCTTGCAAAGTATGATTTACAGTAGATAACACTACATCATGATAAGACTAACAAAGCTTGCAAAGTGCAATTTACAGTAGATAACACTACATCATGATAAGACTAATGAAGCTTGCAAAGTGCGATTTACAGTAGATAACACTACATCATGATAAGACTAATGAAGCTAGCAAAATGCAATTTACAGTAGATAACACTACATCATGATAAGACTAAAGAAGCTAGCAAAGTGTGATTTATAGTAGATAATACTACATCATGATAAGACTAACAAAGCTAGCAAAGTGTGATTTACAGTAGATAGTACTACATCATGATAAGACTAATGAAGCTTGCAAAGTACGATTTACAGTAGATAACACTACATCATGATAAGACTAACGAAGCTAGCAAAGTGCAATTTACAGTAGATAACACTACATCATGATAAGACTAACGAAGCTAGCAAATTGCAATTTACAGTAGATAACACTACATCATGATAAGAATAATGAAGCTAGCAAAGTGTGATTTATAGTAGATAACACTTACATCATGATAAAACTAATAATATTTTAGCCTTATCGTGCATTACTTACTAATAATAGTTTTGTCAGCTTAGGCATTCTTTGTGACAAAAACTCATTACATAAAAAATTTATGAAATAAAAGCAAATCCAACAGAATTTACCTAGAAATATGTTTATCTGAAACAGTTTCACATGTTCTGTGCATTATTCCAGTGTGTGAATTTAAATGCATAACAAAAGAAGGTTTGTACAACATTTCTGGAGGCAAGTTGAGAGGGGGTAGTGTGGAGCTTGGGAGGTTGTTTACTGTGGAGTATTTCATAGAGCCCAACATTTTGTACTGTACCACAGGCTTGTACACATATGACCAATCCTGAAATAAAAAAAAATTATATTCTAAACAGACAGAATCAGAATACAAAAATTTCTTTCTTTAATAATGCATAAATACAAGACATAAAACTTTTTCATGAATCCCTCTAGTGTCCTGAAATTATATTTTCATTAATCTATTTTTTAAGCTTCTATGACATACCAAGAATTAACCTCATTATCATAAGGTATCCTTCAGAACAGAAACAAAACACTACAGTTAAAAAATAGAAGTTTTTTCTATCTTTTTGTCAAATTAACTTCATGATATTACACAACTACTGACCTTCATGCATTCTAATATTAACATTTTTGTAAGAAAAATTGATTTTATAAAAATAATAATTTCAATACCTTTCAATATAAATGACAATATTGAGTGTCAAACAGCAATAACTATAATTATTGCCAACTTAATCACTCGATACCAAATTGAGAAACAAAAAAAATTCAAAGTCACAATTCAACCTTTATGAAAAAGGTCCCGTTCGGGCACCATGTGTAATAGTCTAAAATGAACGTGCCACTACAATCAAGTTTCAACAACAAAAACACAATTTATTACCAATAATAACACTTAGAAAAAACTTCAACACAGTAGTTAACCCTTTCAAGATGGTCCACAGTTGAAAGACCATGTCATCTCGTTTGTTGACTCGCATTCAAACTTTTATTGAACTACTATTGCATGATTTTATGTCAATAAGTTTGGTATCAACCTGTAGATTATATTTCAAATTTTAGTACTATGCATAATCAATTTCTTGATTTAAAAGTAAATATTAAAAATTACAGATAAACATCGATTCTTGTGTGTCACATGGTATGTTGAATGCAGCACTGATTCAATTAGATGTTTGTGAAGTCAAAAATACTAATTCTATAGTTTTGTAAGAATTAGAAACTCAAATTACCAATATTGACAAGCTAGAATATAAAATAAGAACATCTTATCTTTTCTATTTCCTAAGTTATTGCTCATGTAATAAATCAAACAGTGGCACCCTGCCCAATTTCTATCCATTTTTGGAAACACTCCCTTATATACACTTACTTCTATATATGACATGAATGACCAATCAGAAGCTCAGAATGAACTCCTAGTGGCCTTCTCAGCCATTTTAACAGGAATGGACACCATTTCTTCCTTTTGAACCAATATTTCAAGGAGGTTGGGTGTGTTTTTAGTCTACTCGAAATTTCATATTCTTTCACACTAAAATACATATTAATTACTAACATTTATAAATTATAGTGGGATTCTATGGTATTAATGTAGTAATTTATGAGTTTTTAGTTATTCAAATGTATATATGAAACCTAAAAAAAATTATTTTGTTTTATATCATTCACGTGCAAAATTTTTAATGGCTTAGCAACCTATGTTAAGCAGCAACTGAGTACAAAGTCGTAATTAGAAGAGATAATTGTTTGCTTTACTTCATTATTTACTGTTCTAAGTTTTAAGAAAAATAAGTTTAAGAACTTATTTCAAAACAGCAACAATCTATACACATCTATAATGTATAATAATTCAAATGTGACTGTATTTTACAAAATACTAGTCTACTAAAACACATTGAACAAAAATTACTTTGTACAGACCAAAGTTCAGTTTTACATTATTGGATACGGTAACATGAATGCACGTGTGCCGTGTCTTTGTAACTTCTGTATTGTTAGCCAGGCATGGCTGAAAGGTCAATATAATAAATATTTATAAATGTATAATGTTATGAGATTTAAGCTATTTAATCTAAACATTTATGTTTTTATGTTCATTCTAGAATGAAAGCGGCATAATTTATATTTATTTCCTAATTTGCTCTGGTGGTTACGAGATTGGTCAAATTTACCAAACCATACAGAGATTAATTACTGAAAATAACAGATAAAATATAAAGCTTTTTCTCAAGAAATGTTTGATAACTATTGGGACATTATAAAGATTTTGCATTTGTGAAACTTAAAAATTTTCTGATGCATAAAAATATTTTTAATCTTAAAATGAAAATTACTTTGCATGTTAGATAGGCAACACGCGAAAAAAAAAAAGGCACAAGAAAAACATTGCTTTACAAACTTTAAGACTTAATAAAAATATTTGGTATTTTGCATATGAAAGCATTGTAATGTTTACTGATAATCTGCCAAATTTCATTCACAGTTGGTTACTAATTTAAAAGTTATAGCATGAAAACTATAACAAGCACAAAATGGTTACGATGTCGGTCTGAGCCTGTGCAGAAAGAGTTAATAAATAAATGCATGTGCAGGAATTTATCATAAATATTAATAAATCGATAACAACAGAATCAGGAAATAGAACCAGAAAGAAAAAAACTTAATTCCAAACAAAAATACAGCAATTACAATATCTAAGGAATACCTTTCAATAACAATATTGAATGACAAATAGCAATAACTATACTCTTCATTAGTTACTTCATGACTCTCTCTCTCTCAGTGATACGGCTTCTGGCAGGGTATTTATTCAAAGAGTATGTCATGAGAGTACAACTTCATGTGATCATAAATTTACACACTCTTCTGCTACATTAATAGTAACTGTACGTCACTGCTAGGGAAGTTGGTGTCAGTTTCATCATACATACATTTACTCAAAATACAAATGGTTCTGCAGAAGGTGAGTTATTGTTTTAATGCAACTAAAAATTCATAGGTAAACTAAACGATAGAAGGAATAATACATGAATGATAAACAAAACCATAATCATAAAAAAGAAAAAGAATTTGCTATCTCACAATTTTACACACAAAAAATACTTATATTGAAATCGAAATGAATGTTTTAATCTTAACTTTTTTTCTGATACAAAAATATGTAACACCTCACTAGAAGTTTTGGACTAAACAAAATAAAACATCAAAAGTTCCCTTAAAATTATTCATTCTTAAGTTTTTATACAGTTAAACTATGTAAGGTAACAACTTACAAGCTATATCTAGGAATTTCAGCTTTTTTTCAAGATGATTGTAAACTGTTTTCAGAGGATATAGCAATCTAGTTATTTTAAAAGTTCTAACACTGAAATAAACTTCTGGCTACTGGATGCTCCTCTGTAGATTCTAACTCTCATTTACAAAATTTACTAATTGATAGAATGATATAATGTGGTATAATCCTATAGCTTTATGCATTCCAAAGTTGCACATTCATAGTAACCATAAAATAAAATAAGAAATACCAGAATCTGTTTTCTAATTAAGCAAATATATAAGAACTGTTGGCTAATAAACCATCAAGAGTTTAGAATTCAATAACCTCAAGCTGCCAAAATGCTGTTACTTACTCTAATTGACTCAAACATTCCTGAACTTTCATAGTTAGGGCAAACATCTATTCTGTCCCTAAGTGTTGATGAGTCATTTCCATCCATTAGTGTGCCATCAACAATCCCCACAGGCCCAGAAGGGGAAGGAGTCACGTGATGTTCCAAAGATGGGGGTGTAGGGAACATCCTAATCAGGTCTGCTGACCCTAAAGAATCAAGAAATAATACAATAGAAGAAAATTATAGATTTATCAAACACAAGCTGAAATACCCATTAACTGACGGGGAATGTTTAAACTTATTTAAAACAATGCTGAATATTCTTACCAAGTACTGACAATGTATTATCCTTGTTACATTTTGCAACAGGTTGTTCCTCATAGTGATTCATCATTTTTACAGAGTTTGGAGTAGCTGGATGCTGAAACTAAAAAAAGATATAATTATTAGAAAATTTAAGAAAAGACCAGTCTTCAAAAAATATGATAATGTGGTATTTTTTTTTAATTACCAATAAAAACTATTTGTATATTAAATAATTTAAGTTTTAAGATATTTTGTTTGAAAATTTAAAACAACTGCAAAATGATGCATTATTAACACTTTATGTAAATAAAACATTAAAAAAAAATGAAGCAAATACATAATCCTAAAATATTCTGGTACGGTGGTCTTCAGAGATAGTTTGTAGATCTTATAGAATTCCTAAAATATTTATACATGTATTGGTTTTTCTCCTATAACAACCTCCTGCCCAGATCTTAAGTTTCGTTTCCAACCTATAGTTCCAAGCAACTAAACCTACCAATTCATCATTACTGTCTTCTGAGGATGACATTTCAAAAATGTTTTCCAAATCATGCTCAGTAACTTGGAGGTCTTCTTCCCTGGTAAAACTAGTACTCTGAAGGCGTGGAGTGGGTGGGGATGTAACAGATGAAAATTCACTTATAACACTTGGTTTACTAGAATCTCCTGAAAGGGGCACAGGAGGAGGATGAATGAGTTCTGGTTCTTTTGGCTTTTCTTCCTCCTAGAAATATGTATATACAGTTTAACACTTTATAATGGCACTAAAGTATTACTCAGTAAGGAATATCCAATATTTCCTTAGTGCATTATACATTTCTTCTTAGTAGCACATATAAAAGGGTGTCTCAAAATTTACAACAAGTGACTGTGGAATAAAATCTAATGCAGAGTATTTTTCATTCACTCAACTACATCAGTGACATTTTTTAATACATAATCTCAAAAAACAAAAAAAAAATCAAACCTTAATAAATAAATCAACACGGCTTCTGAAACTAGATCCACCTGAGGACGGACTCGGCTGTTCTTCAAATTCATCACTAAACTCATACGGATCTTTAGGTTTTGAGGTCTGGGGAGCCGACTCTTTTGGTTGACCTTTGAGACACTGTTGAAAACTGTCTCCTGAGACACCATCTTCTTCAGAACCTAGGCTACAAATGAACTGTTTTCGCTTCTTCTCATCAGGTTCCCTGTAAAACAAATCAGCCGACTTTGGCTTCAGACAGTATAAAACTAACTGATTACATTAAGTGACTATTAAGTACGATGTCCTTTGAACGGTGTTATTTTATGTCAGATAATATACATATTCCAAGAACCAAATGTAATAGCTAAAGCATTAAGCACAATCATAGTAATGTGATCAGCTTATGACAAGTATTTGTTTACAGCCAAACAAGAACAGACTACTCAAAGTTATGTACGAGTCTTAATATGTTGAATAGTTTCCAGGCTGTAAACTATTGCTCACCAAATAAAGACACACACTTCTTTACTATACCTGATTAACAAAAGCTCCTGATTATTTTTGGTTAGGATCAAATTTAAACTTTGAAAAACTGGGGGTGAAGGGCATGACAAAAAGGGTTCAAGTTTTTTTTTTCTAATAACTTCACTATCACATGACAAGAAGGTTTCAAGTTTTTTATAACTTCACTATCACATGACAAAAAGGTTTCAAGTTTTTATAATAACTTCACTATCACATGACAAAAAGGTTTCAAGTTTTTCTAATAACTTCACTATCACATGACAAAAAGGTTTCAAGTTTTTCTAATAACTTCACTATCATGCTAAAAAGGTTTCAAGTTTTTCTAATAACTTCACTATCATGCTAAAAAGGTTAAGTTTTTTTCCAATAACTTCACTATTATATAAAAGGATAATTTTTATTGTATTTTTTATATCTCTGCTCTATTTGTATGGTAAACAGGATAAATAAACTGAACTCAAATCTTTGTGAGCAAGTTTCAACATATTATCAGACTGGTATTTGGTAGTGTTCTATCTACCCAGAAGCTTTGGATCAGGTACAAAAACGTTCTGCTCTTGACAGAGCCATGCAATACAGGTTGAGAGCTAATGAAAATGTTTTGACTTTTATAAACAACATTCCATATTTGTTTACGTCAGTTACATTATATTTCTAGATTTGCAGTAAGGATCACTTACAGTCACAAATTACATGCAAAACATTGTATGTAAAAACCCTTAATTTTCAACCTGTTAACCACAGCAAGCATATCAGTTCATCCCAAAAATAAGTAATTAAACCAGAATGAGAAAGAAAATCCAGATAAGTTAGCCTTACTGATGTTAAAGTTAATTAACCGTGACTTAAGAACACAAGTATTCATATTTCAAATGGAATTTAAACTCTGCACAAAAGTCTTTTTTTTTACTGTACATTTTTGAAGTGGAATATGGCATTAATAATTTTTGAAATTGTCTGCTAATCTTATCAATATTACATTAATCACATGCTATTTTATATAGAAATAACAATAAACAATCTATTATAGTAACAATAGTAAGAAGAGAAATGAAATTAATGGAGATAAAAAATAATGACTTCTGAGGATAATGGTTTTTACAAAAACATTATTAAGTTGGTAACAATACTAGTGGTTCTGCCACCAGATACTGACTCCTCATGTGTAGACTGGCCATCTTGTAGGAAGTAATATGCATGTAATATTTCTTTAAATATTAATCTAAGCTACAGTGGAATTGTGACAGTAACAGAGGCTACAGTGAAATTATACCGAAACAGAGGCTACAGTGAAATTATACCGAAACAGAAACTACAGTGGAATTGTGACAGAAACAGAAACTACAGTGAAATTGTGACAGTAAACAGAAGTTAGTGAAATTGTAACAGTAACAGAAGTTAGTGAAATTGTAACAGTAACAGAAGTTAGTGAAATTGTAACAGTAACAGAAGTTAGTGAAATTGTCACAGTAAAAGAAGCTACAGTGAAACTGTGACAGAAACAGAAGCTACAGTGAAATTGTCATAGAAACAGAAGCTACAGTGAAATTGCTACAGTAACAGAAGCTACAGTGAAATTGTGACAGAAACAGAAAGCTACAGTGAAATTGTGACAGAAACAGAAAGCTACAGTGAAATTGTGACAGAAACAAAAGCTACAGTGAAACTGTCATAGAAACAGAAGCTACAGTGAGACAGTGAAATTGTGACAGTAACAGAAGCTGCAGTAAAATTGTCACAGAAACAGAAGCTGCAGTGAAATTGTCACAGAAACAGAAGCTACAATGAAATTGTCACAGAAACAGAAGCTACAATGAAATTGTCACAGAAACAGAAGCTACAACGAAGTTGTCACAGAAACAGAAGCTACAACGAAGTTGTCACAGAAACAGAAGCTACAATGAAGTTGTCACAGAAACAGAAGCTACAATGAAGTTGTCACAGAAACTACAATGAAGTTGTCACAGAAACAGAAGCTACAAAGAAGTTGTCAGAGAAACAAAGCTACAATGAGGTTGTCACAGAAACAAAGCTACAATGAAGTTGTCACAGAAACAGAAGCTACAGTGAAATTGTGACAGAAACAGAAGCTACAATGAAATTGTCACAGAAACAGAAGCTACAGTAAAATTGTCACAGAAACAGAAGCTACAGTAAAATTGTCACAGTAACAGAAGCTACAGTGAAATTGTCACAGTAATGGTTTCAAGTTCTGTAGCTGTTTACACAAATTATGTCCTGCAATTAATAGAGTGATGTTGAAGTAAAAACAATAACCCTGTTTATTCAACACACTACTTACCAGGTTGTATTGTGAAGACTTGAGAAATCATACAAACACTTCCTTCTTTGAAACTCAACCTCTTCCATATCCTCTTCCTCGTGGATGGATAATACAGGCCTCTTGATGACTTGAGCAGATACTTTTGGATGAGGGGACACATGAGGTGGAAAGATTAATAATGCAGACTGACTTGATTTTTGATCATCGGCGGACAAATTACAATAAGATGTAGTAGGTAATGCTTCAGAAACTCTGTGATTATCAAACTGGACTAATGGATTGTGGTAGGGTGACTGAAGTACCTGAAAAATGAAATTTATTTTTACCAAGACTGAATTTGTACAGTAATGAAACCGTAGAACAAGATGATTATTTTCACTCTTTACCCTTGGCAAGCTCCAGCTGGGACTTTGCATGTGAAAAGATTTGCTTTGGTCTTACTTTATTTCTTTCCCTAAAGGTTTTTTTATAAATCTCAAATTTCATTGTCTCCTTGAAGACACATTTATTCAACCAGTGAGATATAGTTAATTTACACATAATAGTATGCAGACAGTTTTAGAAGCAAACATCTCCAACAGTCTGAATGAACACACAATCCTTTTTAGGTATTAACAAAACATGACTTGTCACTTTATTTGATTTATATAAAAATGTACAACCAGTTTTTAATTGAGAAACTAGCCATATATTGAAGAGCAAGTGAATCAAATCTTAAATTAGCAATTCTAAATATTTTACTTATAATTACTACATGACTTATGCAGAGTTTCTGCAGATGTATACATTTTATTTTGGCCAACTTGATTTTTTTAACACAGGCCATATAAAAACAAAGTTTTAAGATACCTGGTCCATTGCATATTTTTCTTTTGGAGTGTTTCCTAAACTTATAGCTGTGACAACTGCAGGACTCTGAGGGTAATGGTTTTGCTGTTTGGTCTCTGGGTCATCTTTAACAACAGGTGGATGAGGAGAGAGCGTAGGCATAGCTGGGTCTGAAGAAGAGGATTGTGAAGTGATACCTTCATGATATAAGGAAGTTCCTGGATGCGATGACTCTATAGCCACAAGTTGTCCTAGTGATGTTTGTAACTGAGGTAAGGTAGTGGGGACTTCTCCAATGACACCTGTGTTTTTTGTAACAAACATACAGTTGGAGTTCATTCCTGAAAACTCAGAAGATACCACTGTAGCTGGACTGTCTAAACTTTCAATAACTGTGTGATCTGACAGGGTATTCCTTTTATGGTACGGTACAATACCCCTGGATCGTTGTTGTCCTTTCTCTTTGTCTCCCCTGCGTGATACAGACGTAGGATTGGAAGCCATACAGTTGTTTACACTTGAGTTTATTGAATTTGCACAGACAGAATTCGTTACACCTGAACACAATCCAGGTTTTCCACTTGATGATTTCATTTTAGTTTTACACCTGAAAGACAATTATTTTTTTAGCCATAAAAAGACATTAATAAAACAAAAGTACTACCAAATGGTTCAAAAAGTCAAATACATTTTTCTGCAATTCATTCAGCAATTTATCATACAATTTTTGCCTCATTAATAAAAGAAAACATAATTGTTTTTATTCTAAAGATATAAATGTAATTTTGATTAAACATGTTAAGTCACTGAATTATTGCATTTTTCTTTTATTATATTTCACGTTAACAAGATGTATACAAAACTTAATTATCACCAATTAGAAGAAAACTAGAATTCAAATAAAACCGTTTACCACTACCTATTCACTTGCACAAGGTTCCTGAAAACTCAAGAGATAATCATGACTGATTCTTAAAAGGCCTTGAAGATAACAGTATAATAAAACAACAAGGTATGGGTTCCTGAAAACTCAAGAGATAACCATGACTGATTCTTAAAAGGCCTTGAAGATAACAGTATAATAAAATAACAAGGTATGGGTTCCGAAAACTCAAGAGATAACCGCGACTGATTCTTAAAAGGCCTTGAATATAACAGTATAGTAAAATAACAAGGTATGGGTTCCGAAAGCTCAAGAGACAACCATGACTGATTCTTAAAAGGCCTTGAAGCTAACAGTATAATAAAATAACAAGGTATGGGTTCTGAAAACTCAACAGATAACCACGATTGATTCTTGACCCTTTCACTGTTGCTGGGATATATATTTATCATTGCTCTCACCCCTTCACACTGCAATTGGGACAGATTTTGCAACTGTCATTCAAAATTGCCATGCATGATGTATGGGAGTAAAATCAGTTGAAAAGTATTTATTGGCATCCCACCTAATGTTGATATATGGTTTCCCTTAATGTTTCCCACTCAGCCTTCAGTAACCAACAAGATGCCTAAGCAGAATGTATGACAACTGCGTGCTAACCGTGCCAACATTGCTAGAGCAGGGAGTAGTAACCCTAATTACTATGTAAGTATGCTTGATGCACTTGATTCAGATAGCTTAAAAAATAGTGAAAGTGATTCAAGTGGTGTTCAAATGTGTGAAGATGAAGAGGCAATGAGACAAGAGGATGCCAGCTCTCCATCTAGTGATGATAATCAAAATAATGAACCTGGACCCTGCAAAATAAGGTGAAAGCAGCATCGACAATGGAAAACGTCTGTCCCAGTTGCAGTGTGAGGGAGTGGGAGCACTGAAAAATATTTGTCCCAGCCAGAGTGAAATTGGTTAAAAGGCTTTGAAGACAACAATAAAATAACCACGTAAGGGTTCTGAATACTCAAGAGATAATCATAACTGATTCTTAAAAGGCCTTGAAGAAAAACACATAATAAAAAACCAAGTAAAACCTTTTGACGCTAATAAATCATCAATAATACTGAAAACAGTTTGATAGAGAAGGGCCTAAAGATGTAGTTCTTATGCAAAAGAAGAGCTTTAGGAACATTGTAAGTACCGAAAGCAGAAACATCCAATTTGAGAACATGGTTCATTAAAATTCCATTGTCCCATAAGACAAGAATCTTCAGGTTCTGAGTTTTCTTGGACTGGAGGGTGATGATGCATGATATTGTCCTGCCAAGCACCAGACTTAAGTCGATGTGTAGTGATGGTACAAGCCTCTTCGGGAAAGAAAGGAAGTTGGTGGCTCGGTATATGGGTGACGCAACCAGACACAGGAACACCACAATTAGGGGTCATTTGTAAAGTACTGGCTAAACAAGACGTGTCACAAGGTGAAGTGGGCGGAGTCAAGATATCCATGAGGCCATTGGATTTCTGAAAAGGCTGTGATGGGGTGTGAGTACTGGCAGCTGGAGCTCCTCCTTGAGAAAAGTTTGTCATCACTGCTTCATCACTCTCAGTGATAAATACGTAACAGGACGGATACTTCATTTTCACCCCAGCTAAACAAGTTATTAAAAAATATACATATCACTACATTGCATCAATAAATTTGACACATAACTAAAATGATATTTAAACATTGACACAAATAAAATTTACAAAAACTGACTTTGTCTTATCTTGACTAACAATGTTGTAAAATTATATTCAAAAAAGAAAATGTACCTTCAAATTACTGGATCAGTCAATATGGATCTACGTATAAAAATATTTCTAATATCATTCAGCTGTAAAGCCAACAAAGAATGTCTCGCATAAGGATGCTGTGTTATAAAGAAAACTGACGAAAAAAATTTAAATACCAATCATATATGGCAGGACCAGCACTAAAGCGCAAGGAAAAAAAATGTTAAAGAAATGTTGAAAAAATTTTTTTCTTAGAGGGCGCTTATTTATAGTTTCAAATGTATTTTGGAATTTTTTTTAAATCAAATTTCTCTTTAAACTTCATTAAATAATACAATTTTGTACAAATAATTGAATGTTATGCTACTATTTACAAAAATAAAATCTGAAATCCAATAAAAGATAAGTTCTCTATAATTTTTTCAATTCACAAATGTGATTTTGCCTTCACAATAAGACAAAAATGGCACTGGTAGGTAAAGGGGTTAATAACATATTTGATAGGCTTAATAGTAAATATCTCTACTGACTGAGTAGCAAAGCCAGATTTGTAAAAATGGCAGTCAAGAACAACTTATTAAAAGCAGCCTGTAACACCACGGATATCAAATTTTAATTGTTTATTTACTCAAATACTATAGATTTTGCTATGACAAACACATACCAACTTTGACTTCCACTAAACAAGGCAAGTCATCATCACTATATGATTCTGTGTAACCCAGTGGATAAAACTGTTGCCACTCGACTAACAGCTGCTGCGTTTCAGGATCATTTTCCTTGTACGTCTGTCCTGTCAAGGTTCCTGCTAACCCATATGGACTAAGAATGACTGAAAAAAGAAATATGTAAATTTTAATTACAAATCAGTTCATTAATTAAAAACTGACTTTCTTCAACCGTTATAGACAATTTAAAGTCACTAAAGTTTCAAAGTATTTATTGCATTCAGATATCAACTGTTGTCATAGTTATTTAAATGATCAGTCTTATTATTAATTAGCTACTAATTTGTTTTATTATTACTGCCATCTTCTGTTTGTAGTGATAGGAGCCAGGATTCAGTTCTGAGTCTTCTTGTTAGAATTGGGTCTCATCCCATTATAGCCTGACTCAATTAATGATCTGAATAGTTTTAGGAAGGGTATCCAGGTTTTGCTGACTACCATGCTAAGATGACTAACTGATAACACATTTTGTCAACCATTTAAACAGTTAGTTCGGGCAAGCTCTAATGGTTGTGTGTGTGTGTGTGTGTGATCCAAGTTAAGTGAATAGTGCACACACCTTTCTAACAAGACCCATGTTCAAATTCTGGCCCCTACCACCCCTTCTCAAGCTTCACAGAAGATAGCTGCAGATTAGAGGCCAAAACATAAGTTATAACCTAATTATCATCTAGTAATCTGAAAATAATAAGTAATTAATACTTAGACTTTGGAGATAATATAAGGTACTAACCATGTACAAAACAATTAATTCTCTCACTACTAGCTTGGTTGAATTAGCCGAGTTCATGACTACAAATTGACTTTTATACTTTCAAATATGTTCTGTGTGTATCTTTACAAAATTTTACAAGCTTTCAGCAAGCATTAAGTTTTTTGCAGATAAAATATCAGAATTTGTAATAAAATATTTTCACTAAAAGTTCCTCCATGAATATATGAAGTCAAAGTGTTGACCACCCCAAGTGCAAAGTAATTTTCATGTTAAGATTAAAAATACTTAAAAAAATAGTCAAATTTCATTTTCATAATCTCTCAAACCTATGAAATGAATTTCAGAAGTTTTTGTTTTTTTTCTATGAGTAAAACTTTATATTTTAACTGTTATTTTCTCTATCCTAACTCTATACGAGGTTGGTCAATTTGACCAACCTCGTTACCATCATAAAAAAACGAAAGAAATAAAATCTAAATTACTCTATTTCTTTCTAGAATGACTTCAAATTATAACATGAAACCACATTTGTTTATCCTAAATAGCTTAAATCTCATAAGAGTATACAAGTTTCCTTTTAAATGTTGTTTTATTGCCCTTTGAACCATGTCTAACTAGTATTCCCGACACAGAAGTTTCAAATCATTTGGCTAACATGTAGCTCATGTTACCCTGTCAAAATACATAAGACATGGGCTACTCACGAGCGTACCTTGTGAAGCATTTTATTATTTTGATTATTTATTTTACCTAACCTTATCTAATGTAATAAATTTCTAATTTTTAAATTTTAGATACATTTACAATAATACGTAAAGAATACTCACGAAAAACAAGAAATATGTTTTTTTTATTTACATTGCCTATTCGACAAGAACTCTTAAAAATTTAGCTAAGCTCGTTGAAGTGCTTCCCTTGGGAATAAAGTTTGAACTGGAAGTGAAATGCATAGTTTTCGTACAAAAAAACAATGCAAGATATTATATCATTTAATAGATTTAAACTTTGGCTTTCTATTGGTTATAAATAATATAGTATTAAATATCAGAAAAAACTATTGGCAATTTGTGAAAGAGAAAATGTAACAGGTGGGCATGGCAAAAGAAGTCTTATTTTCTATTTTATGGCTCTGTAACCAAATAAGAGTGAAGGCAAGAAAAATTATGCTCTTCCTGAGTAATAACAACATTATAATGAGTAATTTATGTTAAATTACATACTTCTCAGAGGGGTGGTAAATAAATTAGAGAAGAGAGGATACCTAGAGAGCAAATGTCACAATTCTCATACTAGGTTGAGATTGAAGGTTTTGAAAAATATTTCTTTATACAATTAAGAATTTAAAACTTATATAATAGTAAAATTTGATTTATTAACTATCTTTATTTTTTCTTTTTACAGAGTTTATTCGCATACCATGACAATAAATTAGTTTAATTAAAGTTTGAAAGTAACTCTAAAAAGTCGTGGAGTGCACTTTGAAGAATAACAATAACTGAAATTTGTGATATTAAGACCATCAAGAGGTAAAACCAGTTATAAAGTAACATCAATCACCCATGTACTGCAAATATTGGTCATTCAGTGCATACTTATAAAAGAACATTTGGTGGAGATTTTTTACAATTTTATATTTTTACAGCTCATGATATTTCACTTTAATATGGAGTGTGGTCATCACAAATTGCAGGGGCAACATAAAACTAGTGCTGTGTGTTCTTAAAATCAGTGTATTGATAACATTTTGAAGTATCTTGAATACTTTTATATGAAAGAGCCATTTCCAGGGCATTTTTAGAATTTAGAATCCTATGAAAGAGTGCAAAAAAATCTCTTGAGAGCACCCAGTACATGCTCCAAGAGGTTGAAATCTGGTGAGCATGAAGGTCATTCCATTTGGTCAATTCACTCTTTTACAAAGAAATGTGTTTACCAGCTTAAAATGATGAAGGTGGGTATCATCATTAAGTATACTGAAATCAGAGAAAAGTGCACCACCATATCTTGATGTGATCCCTATAACATGTGAAGTTACCATTCTGCAACATTACCAGGTTTGAAAGGGGGGGGGTCACTAATGTTTTCTTATCACACAATGGGAATACTTATAGAAATTTTGTGAAACTAAGTACAAGCTTACTAAATTGTACTTAGTTTCAGCTTTAAAAACTTTGTATAATTATTTAGGATTCTTATCATTTCTTAGGTTTTGAAATTTCCAAATTTTGTACTGAGACACAGTTGTGAAAAAACATTAAAAATACTTCCTTTCATCTTAAATTTAATTTGTTTTTCACTGGTGATCAGAAGGTTCCATTTTATATATCCAGTCAGTTTTAACATGATATGTATTCATTGACATACTTCTTTTGATACTTTACCTTGCTGATAAGTCACCAAAAATGATAAAGATTTATCAGTACCCTATGATGTAGCCTTTCACAATAGCATCACCATTATCTTTGTCAGGCTAGGTAGCAATATTCTTGGTTGAGATCAATTTATATCTAATAATTCATTTTTAATAACTAATAAGTTATATTAGTTTGTTTAATACATTAAACTTAACAATGATAAACTAAACAAACTCAACTAAGTTTATCTGATGTTGTCATAGAAGAAAATTTCCGTAAGTTTCAAACAGACAAAATTTAACATAAGAAGAATGTCTAACGTTAGTATAATAATAATATAAAAAAAATTCCCACATCTGTGATTAGTTCTTAAGTCTGAAACTTTCCAGTGTTCACTCCCACAGGAGCTCCTCATTCTTTGTATTTGAAGCATCTGTGTTTCAGATATGGTGACATTTACAAATTATAAATGGTCAGTTATTATGTCATTAGGCTGGACAGTAATAGATGATATTTGCTTTTGGATAAACAACATACATTCTTTATCCAAAAGCAAACAACCTCTATTACTACAATTATCACATATGAAATCAACTACAAACTTCTGATAATTATTACTCCAAAATAACTTTGACATTTCAAACACACTGATAACAATATGCATCCCCATAAATTCTGAGATATCTGATGAAACATTTTAATCCTTTATGTGTGCATCTTTGTCTTGTGATCAAACGATTGTTGATATAATCAGTGTGACTGGATTTAGTATTTTCCCACTTGTTTTAGAGATTATTGTAGGGTTAGTTTCTAATCATGCATTTGGTAATCCAGTGAAAATTTATATTTAAGATTAATTAGGGTATTTCTTATTCACCTGTATGGCCATATCACTTTGTTGTTGTTTTTTTTTACAACAGAATAGCTGGCCACATACCTGTAACCTCTGACTGGTGGGTCTGAACGGCTTGTAGATGTTGCTTGGCAAGACGATAAACAGCTGGAGGATGCCTGACATCAACGCTTGTGCATACTGTGCTCTCCCCATGGACGAAAAAATTGAAAGCAAACGAAAACTGCCAACTGTTAAAAAGAAAAAAAAGTTGAAATAATCCTTGAAGAAGTCTAATTCAAACGTATGCATAAAAATCAACTTACTATAAATTTATTATGAAAATTCTAACAAGCAGTTATAAACGTTTTTTCTCATTTTGTTATTTGTACTTAGGAGCTCAAAACTATACAATTACATATTTCATACCTGTAGCCTTAACTGTTTTAAAACAGTTTACGTTAATTTTTTTTATATTTACTTTCTACCATCATACCACGTGTGGTAGTCTGTGTATTCACCTAATGTCTTACAAGTTTTTTGTTGTTTTTTTTTTATCAAAAACTATTTAAAAACTTGAGTGTTTGATTCCGTTTGGTTGCACAGGTAACAGGTACATCAATTTTTACAGACACTGGCCCTAAAGTTATGAAGCATGATACGTGTTTGATAAAATACTTGTTACTTCAGTCCTTGTTAAATACTTACCACATTAATTACGTTAACAAATTTTGTTTTTTATGTAGTACTTTAGCAGAAAACCAATCAAAGTATATATGTAAATAAACAACAATAAAATGACAAATGGTAACTTGTTTCTCCACACACACCAAAAAAAAGTCAAAACAACTATTCGTGCATTTATTACAACAATTACTTCTCCAACAAATAAATTTAAGACTGAACTGTAACAAACTACTTTTGTCTCAGCATTAAGGTTCATACACAGGAATCTTATTTATCAACTGACTTTGCATCTGAAAATTGTCTTAACTGTTTTCAACTGTGAAACTTAACAAATGTGTTTATAAGGTATTATAAATAACTATCATTGGCCTATTCTGTTTTGGGTCAATCAGATAGAAAGAAATTCAACCATAAAAAAGTACTGATGTTAGAACAAGAGTTTATAGAACTCTTCCTTTCACCATAAAGATTGCTTCTAAAATGCATTTGCAAATTCAACATTATTTACAAGCTTTTACTTTTTTAATTATATTTTAGCGCCAAAAATTGTAATCTGGATCTCAACAAATTGGTGTACAAGTGAACATAATCTCAGTTGTTGTTGTTTTATTTCATTGAAAATACGAGTAGTTGTTTCATTCTCTAGTATAAATACTTAGGCTATAAAAATATTTCCTTTTCACTCTGGCTTTAGCTTCACCAATGATATAAATATCAATAATTTTGTTACATAGACTAAGACAGTTAGCCAAGTTAGATGGAAAAAAAAGGTGTTACAATTAGGAATTAAATATACTCCTATTTCCTGACTCAATGTACAGATTATAATAAAACTTTATTAAACACAGAAACACCATGTAAAGGGGTTCCTAATAACCACATTTATTTCCAGAAAATACTGATATATCTATTTATTTTTGTTGTTAACTAGCAATCACTCACTTAAATCATGAAAATTACAGTAGTTTACTATACAGGTAAGATCCCTGACACATCTGGAAAAGTATGCATAAACTATAAAGAGGGACAAGGAGAGATCATTTAAGCATTTTGCTACAGTTGGAAAGGTTGAAGGCTGTACAAGCAAGGAGTTACACAGAGCCAAAGTCGAGCAGAGTTGGGTGATAATCATCAGCTAAACTCTGTAAGCAGCTTGCTAACACTGTTTATTACCTCTTAATCCTTCTTCAATTTCTTCTTTTCGTGATTATGGTCCTCTTCTGGAATGCCTTTAAAATACCTAGTTAGTATGTGGATTTTGTTCTTTGCTTAGGGCATATATTTGTATCATTACCTTTTTCAGAGATAAACCTTCTTTGACCTCTTTTCACAACTTTCAGTCATGGGTATCTCAACAAGATCACACCCACATCCGCTGCACTAATAATATTCCGAGCATTTTGCGATCTTACACTGGCAGATCAGCTTTAAGACAGATATAGTTTAAGAGTTTTTTTAAGAAGAGAAGTATCTTCACAGTGAGATTGCATTAGAGCAGCTGATGGCCAGAAGCTAATTTTTAGCAAAATATGTCTTCCACTAACCCTACAAAAGTCACTATATCTTCATAAACACTTATCTTTTTCAAGGCTGCCCTACAAAGTTTGATTTGTCATAAAAATCTGTATTTTGACAAATAAAACAGGAAGTACAACAACTTAACTGTATAAGAGAAGTTTAGAAAACACGATCTAGTTAAGTCACAGACCAATTGTTAAATATACAACACAAATGCATTTTAGAGTCAAAAATATAAATTCACACAAAACACATTAAAAGTTTGGAGACTGTTTGAATGGGTAATGAAGAAAAGTTTATTATAAATGTGCAATGTTTCGACACGATTACGTCATCATCGGGTACTAGTAGTTTAAACAGACATAGTAATATATATATATATATACATATATATATATATACATATATATATATATATATATACATACTATTAGTGGACTAA